CCTAATATATATATTATTACGGCGGTAAGGCATGCTTCTTAGAGCCTCGCTCCTCTTATCACCTAGTATATATTGTTAATATGGCGATAAGGCAGACTTCTTAGAGCCTCGCTCCTCTTATTGCCTAGTATATATTGTTAATATGGCGATAAAGCAGACTTCTTAGAGCCTCGCTTCTCTTATCGCCTAGTATATATATTATTACGAATGACGTTTTCATTAAAAATGAACTGTTTTGTCAAAAGTGAACATAATGAAATTAACGAAGTAACCGAACAAAAGGTAAATTGTAGAACAAAAAAATAGGATTTTAATATTCCGGCACAATGTAAACCTGGAGCAGAAAACTGTCCAAATGATTAAAATATAAACGAAAAAAAATGACATCGTATGCGAAGGAAAGAATTGCGAAATTTGTAAAACCCTTGACACATTCAAACAAAGAGCAACTCTCCAAAGTCCAAGTCTTAGACCTTAAGTTGCTTCAAACTATAAGAACACCCTTCATATGGAGACCGTGGAAGGAAAATTTAATGCAAGAGTCCATTGACAATTATGTTAAAAGCAAAGCAGTGCCATTTACATCAGCTCAATGGTGCGTCAGATTCTATGAACTCTTAGAATTACACATTGTCAAAATCTTCGTCAAAGTTGACTATAATTGAAATCAATTTCTAGGCACTGCTAGATAACATTCAAACCGTTACGATATTCTAAGGCTACTTGAATCAGATCTAAGTACGTAATGGACATATTAACACAATCTGCGTGATAAATTTCACGCTCTCCTCATGTGAATTGTCCAATCTTCTATAGTGCTCGTCTCATTGTGCCCATCAAACGTGGGGTCCTTGTACTCAACATAAGTTTCTATGACTCCATACTCTCACGACAGAAGACTTGGTAAATATATAATCGCTGTGTCCACGAGCCCATCCACGAGTGCTTTGAGCGACGGTTGGTCCATGATCCTCCTTCCAAATGCTTCCCGTCTTCGTCCGTCGATGTCATGTGTATTGGATATCTTTGCACTTGTAGAATGATCGTTATGAATAAGAAAAAAAAGTTTGCAGCGCCGCTGCACAGTACAAGGTCATCACCTTGAAGTCATTGTGGTAGAACTTCAATGATGAATAGTACAATTCTGAATACAGTGCGAGCACTTCTCGCGGATATTCTCTTGTTCTACAACACCTACGACCACAAATATACAAACATTGTCGAGGATAATACTCCCAGCAATCCGGTGCGACATCCACACCTCAGACACTAAGTACTGCACCCTCGAAAACCACTTCAGGTGTGAAAAAGATAAACCCCATATCATGCCATACATTTCTGCCCCACACCATATTGCTTGGCGGCCATCCAGTCGTTGAATGAACCATTCTGCAACACATGAAATACAGAAGCAATAAAAGGCAAGCCAATGATATATAATTTAACTATATATGAATGAAAGCTCAATGACAAGTAAATGGTACACCAACACGCACGAAATGAGGCCTTCTCAGCGACTTATCCTATTGGTCTTCATCATCTGGAAGTGAAAGACATGCCAAGGCTTTCTCTCTGACCGATTTGGGAATGTGCACTCTATTTTTCAAATGCAACGTCCTTGATGACCAGCTCCACAAAACGCAGTTCACGTGCTGCCACTGATGTGCTGTTGTGTTGTCTTTCTTCCATATCTTATTCCATGCATTTGCATATTGCAGAGAAAGACTTTTAACGACAGATTGTGACATCCAATATTCAATAAGAACATGATTGAAAGCAGACGACTTCCTATTGTTGTCAATATTAGAAATGACTCTACCCATCCACACGGGAAGTCCTTGATCGATATCATCTTGCGAAGGACGCAAGAGAACGAATTGACCCTTTTCGACATCCACAACCGGGTCGAGCTCTGCTTTTGGACGCTCATTGGCTGACCCAACAAACAACGGCTCCTTATTCTCATTGCTCTGCAAGAGGAAGGCAATATCAATATCCTCAGTATTGTCCTTCGTAATTCTGTCCCGCGAGGGCCAAAAGCCAGCCTTGAGTTATGTTTTCGCAAAGCCAGACCCATAATTTTGCTCGATTGTGTCCAGGAAAGTTTTTCAGTATGAAATAACACTCTCCTTTGAGAAGCTAACCTCATCTTTCATTCCCAACCACTCGTGCTGCTTGTTTTCCAACCACTCAACAAACATCTTCACGCCTTCAATTCCTGATTTGAAATCCAAATTCTTATCCTTAGCAGGTTGACCACGTGATGTTTCTATAACATGTCGAATAGGTGACGGGAGAACAGGTGAAGGCTCGAATGGCTATTTGGGTCCAGCATATGCTTTATTTTCATCTCGTTTAAAGCAATAGACCGGAGAAGACCAATGCGGAGAAGTGCAATACTCTTTCCACTGGAACACAGGATTGTCATCCTCCATATAAAACATAAATAAATGTGGCTTTGTATGACCGGTCAGTCTGTTGACCAGGAAGGGCTTAACAGCTCCCCGCCAATCAGCAATTTCATCCATGAATGTGCATAAAGGACGCTCGTTTTGGGAACTGGCAACGAGTTTGAACAGGTCGAGCATGGTATAAGCATCGTGCCTTTTCAGTTTTCGAGAGAAATGACTGAAAGTGGCATCAACGTCCGTATGTGTATGTCCTACCAACATAAAACCGAATTCGAGTTCTTTGAAGAAGCCAAATTTTACCAAAGCTGCGGCCAAAGACAAAACGTATTTGTTTTTGTTTTCTCTCCAGCAGTTGTCGGCTTGTATCCTCAATTTAGGAGGTAAGTCGCTTGTCACCTGTATGTCACGCAGAACTTTCATAACGGATGACACCACAGCATTGGAATCATGTGGATAGTAAGGGTACCATGTGTGAACTTGCACTGATGATGAACGACCGTGTGCGATAATAGCTGTTAAATTTGTTTTCATCATTGGAATATTCGCGAATGCCTTCGACTTGTTTTCTCCGCCGAAGTGTGGAATACTCGTCTTGCTTTGGTCCATACTGTCAATAATGATGCATAAACTGTTGGAACCTGGTCTCGTCGACTCATCCTTCCACACCTCATAAGCAACACGGTGTTGGAGCTGCAAGTCCAAGTGTTTGTCGCGTTCCGAAACGAAATAATCACGCACACGTACGAACTTCGGAGAATTTATAGATTCTTTGAACTCAACACATTTCTCGCATTTCGCAAAGTTTTGATCAACTTCATGAAATTTCACATGCCAAAAGTGTGTTCTCCGCATGTTATAGAAAACTTGGAGAGAAACAGAAGGGACAGTTGTCAAATTGTGACTTCAACAACTTATAAATGTCAACCTTGTTATAGCAAACAGACAATCTCAAAACCACTCGTGATTCTCCATCTTTGATCCTCATGTCATTGGGCATGGAATCTCCATTGTCACGCGCAAAGGAGCTTAGTTTGCCGAACATCGTCGCATATGTTGCAGATGTGCGTCTGAGTCCAGTGCTGCCATGCTCAGGCATAATGTAACCTTTTGACAAAGTCACCCTCTTTTTCAAAAATGCATTCCTGCACACACCCAATGTTAAACACCATGCACTAATGCACACCTTTCTTTTCCCCACAATAGGTTGCACAATCTCTTTCTCATCTTCCACGAAGGTGAACCTCTTTAACGTTTCAACCCACCATGCATCTCTACTTTTGTGATTCTTACAGTAATATGCGCTCCGGACAACTTTGATGTCTTCCATGGTCATGCGAGCGCAACAATCTTGTTTACAACAAACTTGTCCGCGCATACCCGCCAGTGCTTTTTTGATGAGCTTTCTGTGAACTGTTTGTAGAATCTTCTTTGACCGAGGCATTTTGACACGGAAAGTATAAGGACGCTTCTCCGACGACAAACGTTTGGGAAAAATGTCATCAAAATCAGAGATGACAACAGAACTCTCCATACCGTTGCGACAGTAGTGGTCAATGCCATCATCATCGCAAGGTTGTGGATGATCAATTTTGTCTGGAGAACTGTTGGCGTCAGATGACATCGAAGCACCAGATTCCGAACCATCTTCATCACTCTCGCCAAACAGAAGGCCTGTGCCCTCGAAATCTCGTAGCGAACTTCTCGACACCCACATGATACGATCTACATCAGATGTGTTTCTGTCACCGGAGGCGGCCCTACCCTGACCTTCCGAACCTTCTGCATCAGAGGTTTTCACTGGCCCGCCCAAGGCTGGAGATGCACTTTCGCATGTGGTTTCTTCACACGCAGCCATCCGGGACCTTTTATGATCAGGAGATTCTGGAGTTATTTGAACGTCTTGCGAAAACATTGGCAGGTCCATGGGAGGAAGCTCATCACTAGGCAGTATATTAGATGCCACACAGTCCATGCTTTCCAAAGTTTTGCTGGCAGCTTGCCGCAGTGCATGCCCACCACAAGCCATTTAAAACGTTTCTGTGATGACAAAACAGTGAACCACTGGCACAAGACATACATATCAGTAACAAATCCGCAACTAGATGGATCACATGCGGTATATGTAGAGTGCAACACATGTGGTTCAGCGCCGCCACTGCTAGCCATACACTACCGATGTAAGGCCAGTGAATGCGGGAAAAAGTACAGTCTTCAACAGAAGCGATGCGCGAGAGACATGGCGACTGGCTGTTGTGTTGATGGCGCATCATCGCATTGCACAACACGCCAGACGCACACAGCGAGATCCACGGTCACCGTATTCTCACGACAGCGCGGTCATGTCCACCGCCGTCGTGTTGAAGATGACGATGAGCGACCGCCTGCTTGTTGAACGCGACGGTGCTTTGGTGGCGATAATGTCCGCGTTCGACCGTCGCATGTTGAACATTACCACCGACACGGGGGCTACGAGAGTGATTGTCATCGCATCGAACACGACGACGGGGTCGGGGTGTGCCACCTCTGTCGTGTTCGACACGATGACAGCGTCCGTCATCGTGTTGAACACGACGACGCGGTCGTGTTCAGCACGTGGTGTACATGCCCGCGCTTGAGCGTCATCGTATTGAAGATGACATGCTGTCGCTTTTGACACGAGGACAGTGACCATCACAGGTTTAGCACGACGGCGGGGTCGAGGGGTGCCACCGCGGTCGTGTTCGACACGATGAAAGCGACCGTCAGCGGGTTAAACACAACGGTGGGGTCATGTTCAGAACGTGTTGTACATGCCCGCACTCGACCGTCACCGCATTGAACAAATATACATCAATCTAACTCTACAAATAAATATAACTGATTTTATAYGTAACTTATTCTCTATAASTTATTGATACAACTTCTTGGGTTGTGGGCAGCCACCTCTGTCATGTACGACACGATGACAGCGATCGTCATCGGGTAGAACACGATGGTGAGGTCATGGGGTGCCACCGCGGTCGTGTTCGACACGGTGACAGCGGCCGTCATCGGGTTGAACACGATGGTGGGGTTGCGGGGTGCCACTGCAGTCATGCTCGACATGATGACAGCGACCGTCATCGGGTTAAACACGACGGTGAGGTCGGGGGGTGCCACCGCGGTCGTGTTTGACTCGATGACAACGACCATCATCGGATTGAACACGACGGTGGGGTCATGTTCAGCACGTGGCGTACACGCCCACACGGACTCGATGATGGACGGCTCTGTGAAACTGTGGGAGAAATTATGTTGACGTCCTGAAAAAACACGAATGACGAATAGCAGCAGTGGATGGGCGCGATCGGGGGGTTATGGCGGGGGGGGGGGGGGGGGGAGGGGGCGGCGCCTTTGAATTGGGGGGAGACGGGTTTGGCGGGGGAGCCGGGGCGGTGAGGATTCCGAACTCACCTGGGTCGAAGAAGGCACGAATCGGAGCAGCAATGCAGCTGCCGTGGCGGAATAACGCAACTGTCTTTCACGTCGATGCGAAGGTGACACTGCACCGGCCTTTCGTCTGGGAGCGACGCAAGGGAAAAGACCCTTGGATCCTCATGCGGAGCCCGTTTTAACAGTCTCGGACGGCACCGACAGCCGAATCATCGCCCCCTTTGGCATCGACTCCCACCTCGGCACCAGTTCTCCCCTCACCCGATCCTGGCCCTCAGCCGACGGATCGAAGGCCCAGACTTTCCCAGGATTCGAATCGTCGCCCGCTGGGCAACGATTCTCACCGCAGCACCTATTTTCCCCGCACCCGATCCTGGCTCTCAGCCGACGGATCGACGGCCCAGATTTTCCCGGGATCCGAAACGTCGGTCCCGCGACACTGATCCCCCCGAGGCACCGGGTCCCGAACCCACACCCCGCAGGCCGCATTCCCCCGCAGGCCTTCCACAAAAAGTATAAATAGTGGTGTGGGCCCACCATCTCCCATTTCTGCAAGTTCGTCGAAAGCAACGGAGCGTTGCGGAGGCGCGAAGTGTCCGAAGCCGGCGGAGCGATGACTCGCACATCGGAGGCTCGCGCAGAAGGCAACGGAGATCTCGCTCGCACATCGGAGGTTCGCACAGCATCGGAGCGAAGTGACGAGCATCCGCATCGAAGGCAGCAGCGGAGGCCTGGGAGAACGGTAAACTGCCCTGAAGCAACCACGTGCTGCCACGTGGCATCTCCGCCCATGCAGAGGCCGCCGTCGAGTCGAACTCGACGGGGGCATTGTCGAGTTGAACTCGACAATGGCCCGGGGTCATCATCGAGTCGGACTCGACAATGGGCCGGGGTCATCGTCGAGTCGGACTCGACAATGGCCTGTGTTCATCGTCGAGTCGAACTCGACAATGGCCCGGGGTCATCGTCGAGTCGGACTCGACATCCTGTGGCCATCGTCGAGTCGAACTCGACAATGGCCCGGGGTCATTGTCGAAGCGAACTCGAGAATGTCCCGGGGTCGTCGTCGAGTTGGACTCGACAATGACCAGAGGCCATTGTCGAGTTGAACTCGACAATGGTCTGTGGTAAATGTCGAAGCGAACACGACAATGGCCCGGGGTCGTCGTCGTGCCGGACTCGACAACGGCCTTTGGTCATTGTCGAATCGAACTCGATAATGGCCCGGTGACGTCGTCGAGATGGACTCAACAACGGCCTGTGGTCATTATCCAGTCGGGAACGACAAAGGACACGAGTTATTGTAGAGATGGAATACATGACAACCTGGGGTCACCGTCGAGTAGGATTCGACAATGGCCAGGCCGTCGCCATCGGTCGTCGAGTCGAACACGATGGAAGGGAAGCGCCAAAGACTCCGGCCACTGTCGAGTCGGACTCGACGATGACCCCAAGGCGTCGTCGATTTCGTCTCGGCATTGTCGAGTCCGACCCGATGATGAACCCAGGTGGTCGAGTCGAAAGCGACGGTGGACCAGCGCCAAGTTGTACGACCGACGTCGAGTCGAACTCGACAAATGCCCAGGGCCGTTGTCGAGTCTGACTCGATGACCACGGTCCGTTGTCGAGTTCGACTCGACAATGGCCATATGACATGCCGCTGCCGATGTGTTGGACTCGATGGCCCCATGCTGGCCGCTGTCGAGTTCTACTTGACGACGGCGTGCTGGCCGTTGTCGAGTACAACTCGACGGTGGCAAGCCGGCCGACGTCAAGACAAGCTCTACGAACTCGTCCGCCGGCAAGAGCCAAGGCCTCTGGCCATCCGTTTGAGCTTCTCGATTGTCCGTCATCGGCCTCGTCGCGTTCCTTGGATAGCCGCCGATGGAATTTGTCGTTCTGTGTGGTTTCTCCTTCTGTTTTGGGAATTCGCAATGCCTGGTTGTTGTGTGTAACTGCGATGGCTCCTCGGTGTGTGAGCGCGTTCGACCTTAGCAATGACTCCCTGTTGTGGTCGTCAATCGTCTGTGTGTGTAGGACGTTTGCGATGGCTCACCACTTCGATTACTCGTTCCCTTTGAATGCTAGCGCAAGGTACCTACGAGGTTCAAGGCGGGAGACAACTATACTTGGGGCCCGTAGAGAAGACTTCGACACGGACACTTGGATGAGCGTTATGCCCTGGCTTGAAAAGCCCTTCGATGCATGGTACGAATTGGACTGGGAGAAGACAATGAAAGACTGCCCTTGGGCATCTGATTATCGACTAGCATCCAGCCAGGAATCGGGGACATTCATCTTCCTCGACCACATCCTCGTGACGAAACACACGCCGGTGTTGTCTGCGGCATTTCGTACCAGAGACCGGTCTTTGTCGTTGACTGCGCACAACATGTCGTGTCCACCACGATTGTGGGGACCATCGATGAAGATGGAGTTGCTGGACTGCGCGAAACAGAACCAGTTTCTAGAGAAATATCCCCTTCCTTTCCAGGATAACTTGACGGGGAGTGTGTCGTACTTCTGCGTACATGTTGATCTCTGTCGTTTCTCTTTCGCTAGGGTTCTTTGTGTTTCGGTAAGAAATAGAAGTAAGACTTCAGCGGAAGCAAGTATTTACGTGTCTAGGAACGAGCTCATCATTGACGGGGACTCGATTATGTTAACGCATGGTTGAAGCAACGATAGGTTTGACATGAAACTGGCGGGGCAGGKCGATACACCCCGGCATTGGGAGGAGGTCGAGGAGTACGTGAAGGTCATTAGAGACGCCATCGGTCGAACTTTAGCGAGATCATGTGGTTTTGTCCGTGCACGATACGTGTCTTGCTTCTCCTCCACTGCAGCCCTGTGCAGTCCACAACTCCTGACGTACGGTTCATTCCTGAACACAGTGTACGGTTTCGGGGCGAAAGGATAGGCGAGGTCGAGGGGGAGGTCATGGGAGATGAACAGTGTAGGACATGTCAACTATTCAGCTGTTCAACAAAAGTGACACCTGAGACTGTGTATGCGTGCGAGCATTGAGTTTGATGTGAGCTTGTCAACACCGGTTTAACCTCCCTCTCTCTTTCTCTCTCTTATGTGTGCGTGTGTGTGTTTAGTGATCGGTGGAGCGTACTGTTAGTCGCTCGTTGCGGGTGCCGGTTGCCTGCCTTGCCAATTGAATGCCTCGAATTGATGATGGATGTAGGCTTCCAATTGATGTGCCTTGATTGGTATGCCTTGTTCGTGACGCCGCTTCCTATTCAGCGAAAGATGAACAGTGTGAGAAATGTGGGTCATTCAGCAACAGTGTGGACTGAGACTCTGTGTATTATGAAAGCAACGGGTTTGATGTGAAATTGTCGATGTCGGGTTTCGATCCTTCTGCTTTGTTTGATGTGACTTTTAGCTACGCCGCTCCCGTGTTCTGTTTGTCTGCTTTTGGATACACCGTCCCGTTCCCGTGTTCTGTTTGCTAGACTGGTCGTGTCGAACTGTCGCGCTGGCCCCCCACGTTTGAGTCGAACTCGATCGAATCGACCTCCATCGAGTCGATCTCGATCGAGTCAAACACGATCGAGTCGAACACGATTGAGTCGAACACGATCGAGTCGAACACGATCGGATCCAACACGATCGTCTGGACTCACGATCGTCTGGACTCACGATCGTCTGTACTCACGATCGCCTGGACTCACGATCGTGTCCAACTCGATTATGATCGACTCGATGTGGACTCACGATCGTCTGTACTCACGATCGCCTGTACTCACGATCGTGTCCAACACGATCCAACACGATCGGATCCAACACGAATCGACCTCCATCGTGGATTATCGTGTTCGACTCGATCGTGTCCGACTCAATTATGATCGACTCGATCGCGTTTGACTCGATCGTGTTCGACTCGATCGAGTCGAGCACGATCGAGTCGAGCACGATCATGTCGAACTCGATCGAGTCGAACACGATCGCCTGGACTCACGATCGACTCGAAAACGATCGAGTCGAACACGATCGAGTCGAACGTGGTCGAGTCGATCATGATCGAGTCGATCATGATCGAGTCGAACACGATCGAGTCGAGCACGATCGAGTCGAGCACGATCGAGTCGAACGCGGTCGAGTCGAACGCGATCGAGTCGATCATAATCGAGTCGGACACGATAGAGTCGAACACGATAAGCCTGGACTCACGATCGAGTCGAACACGATCGAGCTGGCCTGTCACTCTCACGTCGAACGAGATCGTGTTGACCATGGGCACGATCATGATCGAGTTGAACACGATCGCGGATGCCTCGTCACGAAGGAGATGCTGCCTTATCACTATCTGGAACTTTTCTGCTCCTCGTTCCATGCCAACGTTGTGCGGCCTTCTGATTTTTTGCTTCGCGGTGATGTGCTGTGTAACTTTCAGATTAGGCAGCGCTACAAAACATGGAAGGAGAGGGGAAGGCAAGTAAACGACGAGCAAGTAAGAATTCAGGGAGCATGGAACAATCTCCGAAAAAATCGAAGGGGACGCCGGCCGCTGGGGTTGGGAGTCTGGAGGCACCGGGGTCTAAGTGGCAACGCACCTCGGTTTCGAGGGGTGCACCTTCCACGGGCACTCCGTCGACTCGTGTTCGGGGCTCTGGATCGGATAAGGCTGTGTTGATGACTGGGCCTGCGGGTCAGGAACGTGTCCCTGGTCCACAACAGGGGAGATCTGCAGTGGAGGTTATGCCCGGACGCAAACCGTCTGGAGAACGTAAACCGTCTGGCGAACGTAAACCGTCTGGTGAAACGACTGCCGCGGGTTCGCGAGACGATGTCCCCGTGATTGACCACAAGGACAAGTTCTGGATGCTGGACTGGGTGGGGGAGACCAGACAACCATCGAGTGGCCTTGTTCTATATGTGGTCATCAAAGAAAATATTGTGCCGGTTGGCGGCCTGGTGAGGTGGACTGGGCAAAATGTGTCGTTTGCAACTTTCGAGTTGATGATGGTCATGAATGGAAGAGGGGAAATAATACCAAACATTAAACACGTCGCTCTTCGATGGGCCAAACACGTGGGGTTTGGAAAGTCGCTGGTTGATGTGTTCAACCCACCAGGGACATTGGAAGTGAAGTTGCCTAACCTCGTTGACGTCCTCGGGTTTTTCGACAGTAATGTGATCGCGGGCAGAGAGTCGGTTGTGCATCCAGAGGACCGCATATCAGAGCCTAAATGCGTGCTTTCGAGAACCGTAGAGACAGGGCCTTCGATCACGATCTGCGATACGCCGCCTGGTCCGAAAGCTAGGCAGATAGGAGAGAAGGGTCCGTGTCGCGGACTGGTCGTACCGTCAGCCCCTATGAAGACCACGCCAACGACGACCAAAACACTAGTTGCCTTGGGCAGCCGATCACGCTATGATGTGGCCACCAAGAGACATCTCCCCTTGGTGGGCCAGCAGCGCTATGACTACACTGTGCCGGGCCGCGTAGAGGAAGTCCATGAGTATTTTGAAGATGAGGATGAAGAGAACAGCGAGGAATATTCATAACGAGCAAGAGGACAAAAACAATATGCTGCGGGTGTCAGTGGCATGACAAGGCATTCAGGAGAGACAAGTAAAGTGGTTGGACAGGATGAAGACAGTGAACACACTGTGAGCGCATCGGGCGGGGAGGTTGGTCCACCAGGAGGATATGGGAGCAACTACGAAGGATATGAGGGGGATGTGCACGCGACAGTGGCTGTGACTGGGCATACAGATGCTGCAGGGCTCGCTGAGCGAAAGAGGAAGCACAGGCGGGAGAGGAAAAATCTTATGGATAATAAACGGAGTAGGCAATAAGAGCATGAACAATTACGGCATGCTGAGCACTTTCCAGAACTCCAAGGACAAATGGAATACCCCACCGCACCAGAACGTGGTCGTCCAGAACATACAGAAGTTGTGGCACGAGTCGAACTGTCATGAAGCTAAAGGCGGCTCAGCGGCAAAAGTGAAAAATGCAGAGTATAGAAAGTTTGCGGGAGAGGTTCTTCGTTTGACCTGGAGCGGCAGAAGTGAAAAATGCAGAGTATAGAAAGTTTGCGGTAGAGGCTCTTCGTTTGACCGGGATTCGTAATTTGATTGACATGTCCCTTACTACTCAGTGGAGCGGCCAGTGGTCTGACGCCCTTGGGCCCTACATGTTGTTGGCAAGGGCAACAGATGACGTTTTCGAAAAGGTGAAACAAGTGTACGCCACTTGGGAAGCTGGACAATCGCCGAGGAGAGATGTTGTGAAGCCTGCTACCAAACAAGGTGAATCAGGGAAGGCACCGAGGGCTGGACCCGGATTTGAGTTGAAAGGCGGAGTTAGGTATCCGGTTCACTGGGTTCAGGGTACCAAAGAACCTGGTTACCTCGTGGCTGTGCACGATCCGGATATCAGAGCGTGAAAGCCTTTTTCAGCGCTTGGGAGGCGTGAGCGGCTGCAACTGTTGCGAGACATTCTCACAGGCAGTGTGATACTGACTCCTAAGCGAAGTGGAGCTGCTGAACGTGCCGGGAAACATTCAACGGAAACATATGTGGAAATGGTGAAGATTGAAAGAGCAATGTTGAGGATGTTTCACTACTTCGTCTTCATTTCTGACCCTCATAGGAAGTCGTCAGAGTGGACGAAACCATTCTTCAACAACCTTTCCGATTTGTTTGATAAGTACTCTGATGAAGGATTGACGTCCGAGAGGTGGATCGACCAGCGTCGCCATTTCAAAGAGATGAGTTGGGTGCGAACGTTCCCGGCTACACTTGGAGGCGAGGAGGAAAAAGGAGAAGAGGGCTTCAAGAAAACAACGTCACTTGCTGCGAAGTGCCCCGAAGAGTTCGTGCAGTTTGTCAACAAGCTGCTGCACAGATCAGAAACCAGGGGTTCGAAAAGCATAAGAATGTCGGGCTCGGCGCAATATATACATTTCAAAAGACAGAACGTGAACTCTATTTTCGTCCCATTCCAACGGGAACCAAGCGATATTTCAGACGAGATGGATTCCAAGGAAATATATAGAGTCGTTAAACATCTGAGTTGCCACACGGCCGTGCTGGATTTATGTCACCCAACCCAGATAGGGGTGTGGACTGAAGAAGTCTTTGATGGTCTGCGGAAGTTCATGAGAAAACTGGTTGGTGATTATTGGACATTATTGTGCTTCGTTCCGCGGTCTTGCGAGTATACATTTTTCAAGCGAGTTACAAGTTGGGAGATTGACATTCACTTGTCTATTCTAAAGTGGACTCGTCAACTACAAACGAAGGCGAAACATTTATATAAGGTTGCGAACTTGCCTTTGGAGGACACAGACAGAATGACTGTCATCATGTACTCCAACGATGGGGATTACCACCGTAACACTATTCCCTTGCTTGAAGACATTTCAGCAAGCACTCCAGCTGCAGATCGATCATCTGGCGAGCAGGCGGGTGACTTATCAGCACTTGTGCGCAGAGAGAGAAGGCCAAAGATGTTGGCTGATGTCGTGGAGAAGAACTTCACGCCCACAAAGTTGAAAATGGCAGGTATGGAGCCAAGGGATAAATTGGTGTACGAAGGTATGGAAAGGGAGCCAAATGCGATGGTGGAGACATTGGAGCATTTTTGTCCTGCGGATGAGGCGGTTGTTTTCCTGGGAAAAGGCCATGCGGCGTTGATTTGGGAGTTGTTAAAGAGTCACCGACATTGCATGGTTCTAGAAGGGGAGAGTATGAAGTTCGAGTTTCTCGTTCAATTCGTCACCAAGATGGTCAAGAGTGGACTTTACCTCGCCAAATTTGTTAAGCCGCCTCTTCGACATGATGAAAAGCGTGATCTCGTCTACAAAGTCGGCAAAAACATCGTCAACATTTGGGAGTTCCTTTTCGAGACTAAGCTTGAAAATAGAGGGTAACGTGCATATGTCGTCAGAAGGCGAAAAATGGAATCACTTCTGAGGGGGTATCATAAGGCACCGGCGGAGACGGAAGTTGCATTTCTAGACCGTTTGGAGATGATGTACTTCGACGAACAAATCGGGGCGTTTACAATCGCAGCTTATGCAACTTGTTTTGGGGAAGGCTTCGATGTTGAGGACTCAGAGGAAGAAAGTGAAGATGGTACTTTGCAAGCGACTTTGGCAGATGAGCGGCAAAAAGCTTGTAGCTCGGCTTCGCAGAAGATGGTTGCGTCGGGCACATCGTCCGGTTCTTGGGGGGCTTCGAGTATGGCAGTTACAACGAACCAGTTTCAACGGACAAGTTACATGGCGGGCAACACAACAGCGCTATCTTCCGGCGCAGTTCGGGATGATCCGAGGCTGCACGCAATTCTCTCCCCAGAGGTTATGGCAAGTTTGTCTGCACTTGCACATAGCCCGACTACTGTTTTGGAATTGCTACGCTCTCAAACTCCTCAACCACCTCCGTCTGAGCCTTTGGAGTACGAGATTGAAGACGTCATCCCTCCGGACATTGCACGGCTTCCTGGACCTATTGTGTGCCGGGACGATTATACGGTGATGCCTGACAACCTATGGGGTCATCACATTATATGACACCCCCACCACTTCCAACCTGCATTTGTGAGAGGGAACTGGATAATGGCTATAAAAGAAGAAGGGGAGTGACAATTTTGCCTCCACAGATGCATGTCACGATCCAAGTTTGTCGCACATGCCAAAAATGAGATTGGCAAGCGACTACTGCGACTTAATCCGAAGGTTTCTCAATCAAGACTGGATGCAAGGACAGAAGAAATTTTTGAGAAGTTCAAAACATCTCGATGGCTTGAGTATCTGGAAGAGTTCTATGATCGAGAAACAAGTCCAACTTTTGGATATAATTGGCGTATCGAAGAGGAACTTGAAGACAAAGTTGGGGAAAGGAAGGGAGCGAGCGGCGATGAGAGTGGCAAGGGATCAGGATCAGGCGGCGGTGCGCTTGGCAAGGGAACAAGATCAAGTGGTGGTGAACATGGCAAGGGATCGGAACCACGGGGCGGTGCGAGTGGCAAGGGAACAAGATCAAGTGGTGGTG